TCTCTCTGGCAATGGTGGCCTGAAGATCAGCCAGCTCTCTCTCTTGTGATTTGAGTTCTTTGTTAAGCTCATTTAACTTCTGCATAGTGACTAGAACACCACTTGAGTTTGGAGAACTACCTCCAGACAGTGTACCAGATGGATCATAAGAATCACCTTCTAATGTGATACTCTTCATTCGAACAGAAGGATCAAACGTAACTCGCTTAGCTGTAGCCGCATCTGCGCAGATGAGAGTATTTCCGAATACGTAATCCATAGCAGTCGAAACTTCTTCATCGTATCCAACCAAGGACAGTGCAAGATCGACTTTGCCCGGGGCAATTCTTTGAGCAGCACCAATCTTTTCCGCTGAAGCTCGGAAAGCGGCAATCTTATTCAAAGGGATGATAGTGACTCGCTTCCTTAATTTTCCATTTTGAAGTAATTGGGTACCAGTAACTTCCGTGTCAACGACAACATTGTACAAACGACCACCTGCACAAATTTCGAGGGCTGTTCCTGCAGCTGTATGGTTCTTGTCAATTGTGAAAAGTTGAGCCACCAAACCCTTAACTTTCGATCTATCGAAATTTGGGGTAGGATCTGCGTAATTGAAGTCCACATTTGCTACTTTACGTTTCAGTCCATCTGCCTGTTCCCGAATTCTTCGGATGTTTTGCTGAATAGTCGATTCTTGCTTGTACATGTCATCCTCCTTGCCTGCTTCGAAGCCTAAATTCTGAAGCTCCTTTTCGAGTTTCTGAGCTTGAGATCGTAATCCCTCAAGGTCTCCAAGTAGTCCAGCATTCTGCTCTTTAGCCTTTTTCGACCTGGGTTCTTCCTCTTTGACTCGCTTCTGAAGATGAGTGATCTTCAATTTGGCTTGCTCTTCCTCGGTGGATGCAGCACTCATTCGATTCCTTGCATCCTGTAGTTGGCCTTGATACCCACTCTCTTGGCCTTCCTTGGATGCGACACCAGTTTGTAAAGTTTGCAAAAGCTCCTCTTTTGTCTCTGCTTCTGAATTTTGCTTCTCTAAATCTTCCTTGGCTTTGTCGTATTGCGATTGTAATTTTTCGTAAACCTTGGTTTTCTGCTTAAGTAGAGATTCCATCTCGGAAACCGTCTTTTGCGTTGCCAACTTTCGTTCCTGCTCCTCCGCCATACTCGATTTTTTTAGATCCATGACCGTCGCCAGTCGAACCAATTCATGAGAATATTTCTTAACCTCTTCTTCTAAAGCTGACGCTTTTCCACCCTTCTTTAATTCTTTCTCCCGTTGTGCCTTCACCCGTTTGATATCTTCTTCTAAGAATGAGATTTCGCTTTTCAATCGGTTCGCCGATTCCTCCAATTCTATCGCCCGTTGTTTCTTGAGCTCGAGATCATTAGCTGACTGGGCAACCTTTTCTTGATTCTTCAAGTAATCATGCGCCACCACCACTCTTGTGAGTCTCTCCAAATCGTTCTGTGTTTGTTGATAATCCAGAAAAGCCCGTTTCTCCGTCCGCAGCTTTTCCAACTTTGGCTCGATTTCTTCTTTCAATAGCTCGGTGATCTCTTGAACCTTCATTTCCTTCTTAGCCATTGTCTTGAAAGCTTTGTCTCTCCTATCCTCGAACATTCGTGTCCCTGCCGCCTCCTCAATCATGGCAAGAATTTCAACCGCTTTCATGTTCAACACTTTTGTAATTCGTCCTTGCATAATCAAGAAATTAGGGTTGTTGATATTGAGCTGAACGGATTGGAAAAGGTTTTGCACAGTTTGTTGTTGTGCTCGATGTCCATTTATAAGATATTTGCTGGTGCCTCCCAGGACAATTTGTCGAGTAACACTGATTTGAGCATATTCCTCAAATCCAATGGGCGATTTCTTCTTGTCTCGATTGTCGAAAACAATCGTCACACTAGCTTTCGTTACTCCGGCTTGTCCACGCTTGTATATTAGATCCTAAAGAGGCCCGTCAATACGTTTCATGCCCATGTGAGGGGCTATAATCTACCTGAAGATTCTGCGCCCGAACTGTTGTCATATTCGTAATACCAAGAACAAAACATATTGAGTCGAGGATATTTGATTTACCACTACCATTCAGACCAGTAATCGAATTGAAACTCTCATCCCTAAACCAGATGTAAGAATATATACCAAAGAATCTTTCGTTTGCATTGTTTACCATCCTGAAATTACAGTACGCACAGCGTACGATTTGAAACCCTGGACATGAGTTAGTTAAGATATCAAAGGATTTTGGTGAGTTTATTTCATGAGACATACATCTATAATGACTTCTACTACCCTCATTATGGCGGTGTTGAGTCGTAATATCGTTGGTCGTAAAGTCGTAAATATTTATATTTTGATTTGCGCGTGAGAGTAAACAACACAATTTGGGTCCGCAGCAACCTCGGATTAATTGGTTCTTCCATTCCGTACCCCTCCTCATCCTTAAAGTTTATCCAGACCAGACCCAGAAGACTTTCATCAATAATCTGCACAATTTCGCATCACTCAAATAAAATGCGCATAGGATTGACAATGTAGTAGATCAATAATAGTATATATAACTATGAAGTAATAGGTGCGTTGATTAACAGTCGTGCAATAATTCCATATTCTACATGATTTACCACGAGCAGAAGTCAATGTAGCACAGAGAGACGACACCTCGAAAATATCAACTGGCATGATGAATCGAAGTGCATCTATTTTCTGGTTTATTTTGTGGTAGATCTAAGCTCACTGATCTCAGATATTCAACACTCACCGGAAAGATATATTCAGAACATTTTCACCAGCACCCACTCGCCAAAATTCAAGGAGAGTTTAACAAGATAAGGTGAAGAGTGTAGTAGCCTGGAATCAGATACTGTAGTTTTCTTGTGAATTGCTTAACATAAGTCTGTTCAAGGGTTGCTTGGGCTGGAAGCTGCAGACACTGCAGTTGAATAAGAAAGGGGGGGGGGGGGGTAGTACTATGTCCATGTTGGCAATGGGTGATGGAGAAGACTGTGGTAGGCCAATCGCACGAACGCTCAAGCGAGCTGGATACATTCTAAGTCAGTGACAATAAATCTAAAATTATTTACAATTTCCTTTCTTCAGTTTTATATCATTTGTTATACTGTCTTCAGAACTCTTCTACCAGGAAAGCTTCGTCTGAAGCGTGGAAGATGGGTAGTGCCTCGGCTCATTGATGAATTGTGCATCAAGTATTCGCGTGCCTACAAAGCACGATTATCGACACCTTCCTGATGTCTTTTGACCAGAACACTTCGTACGTCAATTGCCTATTATGCTCAGGGAATCTCTATCGAGCTTTCATGGAAAGGCTTTTCCAAAACATGAACCTATCACGCACCGGATAGAAGGTTTGTTTGGCCTGGTGGTAATACTTCATTTTGAGGGACTCTTCTTATGGTAGGAACTGGATCTGGGATCACACACACATATATATATATATTTAGGTGAGGTCTCGAGGGCCATGTATAATGAGATCGTTTGAGCCTCCATATATGTACGGCAGATAGTCTCATGTGCGCTGAGTATATATGTGGGAAGGTAAGAATTGATATGAAGCTCAGATTACCCTTGATTTATTAGCACTAAGCGGGCGATAAAGGGGAAAGGGTTGTCAGAAAGTTCGAGAGCACCTCTATTCCTGAAGATTCGCCAGCCAAGAGAGTGGATGGGACTTCTAGGTAAATAGGCTACGGGTAGTGAAAGGTCAACGGGAGAACTCGGATTCTTCATGTGGTGCGTTGTAAGTGTATATCATTACTGCCCCCGATTATCATTCTTTCCATTCCCACGCAGAATACAATATCTCGAGTCAACATTTCAAATCATATACGATAAACACGACTTTACTTAATCATGGCGTGATAATACAAGTGAATATGTCGGCCATGGGTCCAAGATGCTAGACAAACAGTCAGTATCGATTATTCTAGTCATACTCCATACTCATAACACTGAATACTGACATTTCGAATCACATATCATTGCAGACATGGTAATCATCGTAGTTCTCATGTTCATGGGCGTGGTTATTCATAGCCACCATGTGCATTTCGAGTCAAGATCTAGTAATGAATCAATATGTTCATTTCTAGTCATCCGTCTGCCAATTCCCACTCGTGGAGGTAATTCTTGCCAATCATCATGCTTATTCGCAGTCGAACAAAGTCGAAAAAGATACGTCATGTCATTAATTTCAGTCACTTGTGAGCCTATTTCCACTGATAGAGGATATTTTCCAGTCACTATATCGATATTGGGTCGAGAAGTAGCTGCTAGGAATCAGAATATCTCTTTCTCGTCATCAAATAAAGAGACTTCCAGTCACGATGAAATATTTTTCAAGCTATTATGCGTATTTGGAGTCAAAAGTTCAAACCCCGCGTCATATTGTCTAATTCCAGTCACTTGTGGCCTCTTACCATCAATGAATCTTATTCGCTGCAGTTATTGTGTTGAAGGGAGTCAAAACGTCTTTTTGGGAATCAAATTGACCATTTCTAGTCATAATACGAGGATATTTTCAGTCATAACCTCTCTCTCAAACCTCGCCAAAGCAAGGACAAATGGGCTTAAGTAGGTTCAAAGCAATCTCCCTCCCTCCATTTCCAAAACCAACTCGAACACAAATATCCAGAGCAAAATAATCGAATACAAACACACTCGAAACATCTACCAGAAGACCTCCAATACAAATTACTTGAACACAAACCTCGTCAAATCATTTACGAGTACACTCTGTCACCTCCATATCGCTCTCCAAATTCCTTCCATATCGTAACTTCATATTACCTCTCTACATCAAGCCATTTACCAGATCCGACCATCACCACTCCGTCTCGGCCATATAGCTCGATATCAGACACCGGCTCAAAGCTCAGGCCATACATACATCACTACGTCAAGGCCCAACATACATCACTAACGACCTCGGCATAGCTGGGTCGTCTACTCAACCTTTTCTCGGCTTCAATTTTATTACCTACAGATCAAAACCATGCCGACCTATGATGATATACTAAAAGAAAAAGAGAGAAGAAAGAAACGCAGTGAATCTCAACAGCGTTGCATTGCGAATAAAGCCGCCAAAGAAAGCCCTGAAGAAACGAGAGCGAGGAAAGAGGAGAATAATAGAAGAAAACGGGAAATAAAAGCAATAATGCATGGGAAGGACCCTAAAGCAGAAGAAGCGGCCTTTCAGAAACGCAAGTTAGGTCATCAGGTTAGACGTCAAATGGAGAAGGATAAAAAGGCGGCGGAAGAACAAGCAACAGGATACGAGAGCAACGATAGCCGCGAATTACTTACAAGCGACAATCGTTCTGTGGGCCCTGCACGCCCCGAAGGTCCTACTTATCCTGACCCCCCGAGACAAGATCATAATGCTACGTTTGCTATGACTAGTATGAGAAGTTCAGTACCTCCGACTATCTCTACACAACCAGCAACCAGTCATGATCATTCATCGTCTATGAGCGATCCTCAACACTCAGCACATACCAGTTATCATGATTCTCGTCTATGAACAATTCTGAATACTTAATGTATCCCAGTTATCAAAAACAACAGCGAACAGCAGATCTGACCTGCGCTCTACAAGCTATCATAATTCTGGACCACGCATGAACAACAACAACAATCCCTCATTACTTGCAAAACCTATGATGCCTGTCGAGCATGAGTCTACAGAAACCAGAACACTATTCGCATCACCTATAAGCAACTATTGTGATTTGTCATCTGTGACCAATTATCAATCCCCAGTACCTCACAGTACTCAAATGCCAACAGCGAACAGCAGATCTGACCTGCCACCTGCAAGCTATTATAATCCTGGACCACGTATAAACAAGAACAAAAGTCCCTCATCACTTGCAAGAAGCTCTGCTCCAAGAAGCTCTGGTTCAAGAAGCTCTGATCTTACAAGAAGCTCCGGTCTTCCAAGAAGCTCTGGTTCAAGAAGCTCTGGTCTTGCAAGAAGCTCCGATCTTACAAAACCTGTAAGGCTTGCTGAGCATGAATCCGCAAGACTCAGAACACCATTCGCACCGCCCATAAACAGTCATCGTGATTTGTTATCTGTAACCAATCATCAACCTTCAGTATCTCACAATACTCAAATACCAACAGCATACAGTGGGTATGATCCTACATGTATTAATAAATGGTGGGCCAAGTATGAACCAAAACAGGATGAAAAAGGAAACTTCTGTGATGAGAAAGGAAATTTCTATTAACAACGGGCACCAATATGAAGATCAAGACATCCAAAGCCTCTCTATCTGGCTAACCACGTTGTACCGCATTGGTAGAGAAAAATCAAGCTCTGGAGTTGTGTGGAACCTCACTGATTCTTCATTTTCCTTTGTCATTGGGATGTCAAGATAATAATGCAAAAGCTATCTTCAGATCTATGGTTGTCCTCACAATTTCGTGCACCCGCTAATATTAGTGATATGTCTGTTTCCAGTCACTTATGGCCTGTTCTTACTCATAAAGATCGCTATTCACAATCGTTATGTTGATATCGAGTCAGAACCATCATTTCAGCATTCAAATTGACAAATTCTAGTCACAATCTCTCACAGTCATTGTGTTGATATCGAGTCAGAACTGTCATTTCAGCATTTAAATTGATAAATTCCCTGTCATAATCTCTCCCTCAAAGCTCGCCCAAGTGAAATCAAATATGCTTAATAGGGTTCGAAGTATCCCCTCCATCCGTTTCCCAAATCAACTCGAAATCAAATATCCAAAACAAAACAACCAATCAACCAATCAACCAAATAGCTGGATCATCTACTTGGCATTTTCTCAACTTCGATTTTATTATCTACAGATCAAAACCATGCCGATTGATAATAGAACACCAGAAGAGAAGAGATTGAGCAAAATGCATATCAGCAGCGTTATCAAACAGAGAAAATCGCTAGAGAAACCCCTGAAGAAAAGAGAATGAGGTTAGAGAAGAGACATGAAAAGATTGAAGAAGAGCGTGTAAATAACCCCGAGGCAACAGACAGGAAGTTAAAGAGAAGAAAAGAACTATATGAAAAGAACGCCAAAGAAAATCCCGAGAAAGCAGAGATGCAGAGAGCGAAAAACAACGAAACAAAAGCAAAGAAAGCCGCTGAACGAACCCCTCAAGAATCGAGAGAGAGGAAAGATAAGTCTAACCAAAAAAGACGGGAATTAAGGGCATCTGAGCGTACAAATGACCCCAAGAAGGCAGAAAAGAAGAGAAAGAGAAGAACCGAAGTTTCGCAGATTAGGAAAACAAAAATAGAAAGTGATCATTCAGAAGCTATGGAATGGTTTCACGACGAAGACTTCTCAAATTTGGCACGAACGTCTCTTCATCTTCTTGCGAACCCTGTCGTGTATGAAAATACAGAACTCGCAGTATCGTTTCCGACCAACGAAGGCAAGTCCTGTTTGCCTGCGACCGACTTTGGTGTTGCACCGTCTAGACACGAAAATCAATACCTAGCGCCTGACGGATCCGAAAGCAGGGACAATCATGCGTCACCTACAACCGATTCATATCCTGCATCGCCTAAAAACAAATCCTATTCCCGAGAGACTAGCAGATATAGTCCCGGGGAATCTGGCAGACATCATTCCACAGGATCTGACAAACATATTTCCACAAGATCTGACAGACATCTTCCCACAGAATCTAGCAGATATTATTCTACAGAATCTAGCAGACATCGTTCCACAGGATCTGGCAGACATACTTCCAGACGTGGTTGCACACCACCTGCGACCGTCTCAGACCCTGCACCGCCTGTACAAGGCTATAACTACTCAGACAATACGATCAGTCATACTTCAACCCATAGCGAGATTTGAGAATGCCATTGATGAAGAGCTCAGTGTACCGTATCTTAAGTTTTCAGGATTTTCAGCAATACAACTCAAGATATCAATAGAGTCCCTTCCTTTGGATAACAGTACATCACTGGAGAGAGTCAGGCTCTCGAGTTGCATGTGATGTGAATTTTTTGTTCCATTTGTTTTTGGAATGTCCTCCTCGTTTAGGAGATTAGGATTTAATTGGGTGTTGTGGATGAAATTTCGCGTTTCTGAATATCCTGATGGTATGGATGGCATTTCATTTCCTTGGTTGTTTTTCGTTACCTCCCATTGAGGTTTTCTAAGAGAACCATCTGGCCCAAAGCCCAGGGGTGGTTATTGTTTTCTCCCAGATATGCTCTCACTCATTCGAGATATCTGGCATTGTCATGGATTTAGAAAAAAAGGTTTACTCAGCACTTGTTGTTAAATAGACTAGAATTGCAAACAATTGCAGCCACTTGGCAGAAGAGTTATATTGCACATGAACGTGATGTCTTTGTGCCTATGATGTTCAACAGGAAGCAAATCGACTGTTTACTTAGGGAAATTTCATTGCATGCTCTACTAACATTGATGTATTTGCAAGTCGACGATTATAAACAGTTTATAGACTTCTCAGACTTCACTTCACTCATTCATACATTATCAGCCTGTCAAGACCAGAAATTCATGAGCTATAATCTAATACTGTAAAAACGAACTTCGTAGAATTACATCAAGTATAGCATCGTATTATATATCCAACAACCCTTATTTGCCAATCGACATTAGGAAGTTGGGGAAAAAATCGGTCGATATTAACCTCTGAAGTGGAACGGGTTCTTGCTCGATTCGGTGCCGACCGAGGGGTGTGATAGGTTGCGGCCGAACTAGCAATGGAGGACCAATCGTCGAAGTCTTACCAGGCTCATGCCATGATCGTCGCTAAGTAACGTAAATGCCCCGGCAGTCTCCACGAAGTCTCCATTATTCTTTGCAAAACGACATGGGGTTTAAAGTACAGGATGTGAACGAACTAATCCAGCGGCAATTCAGGGCTAGTGGTAGAAATTGGTATACAATCGATCACATATCTTGAGAGGCTGCAATGGGGACAACTCGATTCTCAGATGTACGAAGTACTGCTTGAAATTACCAGTTGGTGTAAAAATCTTCTTGGTGTGATTTTGGACCGTTCGATATAGTAGAAAATCCATGGGAAATACTTCCACCAGTAGATTATTACTATTTGCCTTGCAGATCTATTAGGTGATGATCGTACAATGTGGATAGGTAGATCAATTCTTTAGAGTAAATCCAGACCCAAAAGCTAGATCTTATGGGCCGACAAATGATGAACAGAAGAACATGAGGATGTGTCGGTCCAATTCTATATAATTAAAAAAAAGTTGCGCTGCAAGTCTGACATTCTGACATCACACCAAGGAACTTGCCATGGGAGAAGGACACATGGCACAATTAAGGATTCGCGGTGGAGTTAAAAGTATTCTAGTGCTTTGCCCGTGGAGCCGCCACCTTCACCATGTCGATATGAGGATTCAGTCCAGCACCGAAAAGGTGGTACATCTGAGTCCAATTAGAAGTGGATTTTGTCTGATTTTGATGTATTCGTATCGTATCGTATCGTAATCGTATTTGAACTTCAGAGTCCTCAGAATTGAGCTTCTGTGCATACCGTAAAAGCAGAATGATGATATGTTGTTATATTGTGAGAGTGTGAGGATGCGAGGATGCGAGGATAACCATTTCAAATAAGGTTGTGTGACACCGCTTTCATTCTTCAACTAATCCGGACATTTTGCCATGAATGCATTTAGCCTAAATGAACAATGAGAGACGAGACAAATTCGAGAATTCCCTTCACATCGCTCCCACCATCTCATCCACCTATCAAATACCGCAATTATGCCTAATTATCGGTTTTGAGATTTGTGTACATGTAAGATGGCTGGGGAACAATTCATGATTGTCATTTTGTATCACCATCGCCCACCTGTGTGTGGTTCGTTCTCTGAGTCGTACGGGGTTATCAAACACAGCCATACTCCGTACGCAAAATGATCTACAAATTCTTCCACGGATAAATATCCAAAGCCTTCCGGAGCCCTGTTCGTCGCCTTCCTCTTTCATCCAATGCAGATCAACCTCGGTGTTGCGTGAAGCTAGAGCAGCAACAATATGCCACCATACTTCATACTACATGGACAAGCAGGTGGAAAGTAGACATCTTCAAAGCATTAGTCTCAATGGCAAGCACATACATCCGCATTTGAGCGCAACATTACGAGACGAGGTGTTTGATGATCAAAACTAATGCCGTTTTCTATTTCCCATACATTAAGTCATTGATCTAAATTCCAGCTCGGTATGCACTTACGAAGGAATGAAGTCCCATCACCTTGGTTCGGGCATGATCGATTGTCGGCCCGTCCTTACCTGGTCGACTTCCTGCCACCAATTTACTGCTTTGGGGGAACACTCCGGCACTAGACAGCTTTTCCCAATTCCGAGACCAATAGAGTTTTCTCATGGTAATTGTTCTCCGACGATGGAATTACATACTAGCTGAAATGTACAGGCACCATTGGCAGGTTGCAAAATACCTATTACCCATCGATGCTGGTCAACACGCTTGAGAAATGCACCGTGAGGTAAAAGAGCGACCTTTTATGTGGCTAAAAAACGTTGATGATGAGCTAAATGCATCGAATTACTGTCACCACTACCGGCACGGCACAGGGTTGTCCCGATCGTTGCCATCTGTTGCACCACTGCTAATCACATCGCCCGACTCCAAGCCGGACGCTATAAATTGAGTTCAATATTGATACCACCCTATTTGGAACATTACCCCGGCTCTCATTGAAGGTCTCTATGCACTCACTGAGCCTGATGTCCCGGCCCCTCATCATGTCTCTACCAAGTCCTAGGTTTTCTATATCCCGATCGATGTGTTGAGATTTTGAGCTGGGATTCTGGGATTCGGGGATTCTGGGATTCGGGGATCCTGAGATTCTGGGATTCTGGGATTCTGGAACTCTGGAATTCTGGAATCCTATATTAGATCTTGATCCTTCGTGACTGTTGACCTAATAATATCTGTTTCCGGACAAGTAGAAGTCATGACCTACCAATCTTCGCCATGGTAACTGCTGCGAGTACGAGCCTAATAGTGCTGTGTGGAGCTCAAGTACTACGAGGGCGCCTTTCCATTGATTTGGCTCTGGATACTACTATGCATGCTTGGTTTCATGCATCTAGATGGTGGAATGGAAGCTGTTCTCCATTCTCTTAGTGCACGTTCGTCATGAAAAACCTTAAAAACACTCAACTCGGTGATTTCAAAGCTGCACGTTGAGGCATCCAAAAAACAACATCTGACATTTTGGAACCCGAATATCTGTTGTTCTTCTTGACTGGTCTGACCCCCTGGACCTTGTCACCAGAACTTGCACAGACAGAAAATGTGGCGCTCCTTAAAATCATCTCCACATTGTACTGCAGCTCACCACCCACAATCCAAAACTCTCCTGTTCCTTATATTCCAAATCCACAAAAGAATTGCTACATACTTTCCTATGCACAGAAATTCTCATCTTGACCAACCCCACCCTAGATTGCAGCTCCCAGAATTTGGGTCTACGACGCATTATAGATTCTCACAAGATTATCGAGACAGATGAGTGACCTTGTCTAGTCGTCACATCAGTAATCAAATCTCGAGATTACAGCTGTTTCTGGACTCTAATCACCCACTTCCTCCTGTCAGGACTTACACGTATGCGACCTCCGGCAGATAAATCCCCCTTTCTCTGATTATATTAACATTGGATATATTCCAGATCCTGACATCAGATCATATTATTCGTTGGACAACTAAAACCCCCCTCGCCTTGCTGCATCTCAATTCCGATGCAGCTAGCTAGGCTTGCATTTCCAGAAACCCTTCGATAGCTCTATGGATTAGGTTTTGTGCCATTTCATCTTATTTAAACTTTAATATCCACACCACATGACAAAAGAACTGTACACCGCAACCAGTTCCAAATCTATATTGCCAGACATCACCACGGAAGGGCACTGTGCATAAGCTGGGTACTTCCAGAACGGTCGAAACTTCAGCTATCCGTGTGCTCCATAAATGTATATGCTGATCCATTCATACATCATCGACTGCTGTACTTGAAGATTATACCCTTTACAGTCCCCACCAAGGTTGGAGTACCTCCGACAACTGCTCCAAATTCCACAATAGAGCAGATAGTTTGATGTAGAAGGTGCTTAGGAAACTACAACTTAACTTACATTCCAATCTATTTGAATTTTGTACGGAAGGTGCTGCTCGTAGCTCACCACGTCTCGTTATCATCATGGCTGGTACAGGTCGCCTAGACCTGTCTAAGCAATCAATACCGGGCCAGCATCTTCTTACACTCGAACGCGACCCTTATGCACAGCATTCTCAACAGTTCCTAAGTTCGGCCCGGTCCTATGCGGATCTGAACTATCTTTTTGGGGCCCAGGACATAGCGATGATTGGGCCCATTCCGAAAACAAATCGACGAAAATCAAGCCAGGGAATCGAGCATGTGAAGCATCGTCGGACAAGATCTGGCTGTTATACTTGTCGTAGTAGACGAGTGAAGGTACTCATTTGGCAATTGCATTTTTTCAAAAAACGTGCGCTAACTTTCTAGTGTGACGAACACCGCCCAAAATGTGATAGTGAGATTATGAGCTTATATTTTGTAACATGCTGCTAACCTCAACATATAGGATGCACAAAAGGCAATCGAGAATGTGTATACCCAGATGTGCAGAAACCGGCAAAGGGTGCGGGAAACACTTCATCTAAAGTTGGGCAGTCAAAGCCATCAGAAAGCCCTGGTTCATCTGAAGATGAATACGAGGACCGAGACGTTGAGCGTCTGGAGGTTATCCGAGATGAAGATGAGGTCGAAAGCCAATCCAAGTATTCGAAAAATAGTTCGAACCTCAATGCCAGCGCACACAGTTCGAATTCTTCCACTCGTATTAAAAGTGGCACAAGGCAAAGCTCAGAGACCCCGTCTTTGATACAAGAAACAGGCTCTTCTCCGACACCCTCAACTGAAGGCTCTATTGGGTATTCTTCATTTGAGCAATTTGGCAGTAGTCCTCAATTTTACGACCAGACATTCGCAAATGACTTGGGATCCGACAACTCGAGGAACAGCTGGTCGCATTTACCACCCGATCTACAATTTTACTTGACATATTATTGCCAAAATATCACCTTCATGCATTACAGCTTGAGGTCCAACAATGAGGGCTTCATTCACAAATTGTTATTGGATGTCGCCATCCGACATGAACCACTTCTCTACGCAGTGGTAGGGTTTTCAGCTTTCCAATATGCAGTAGAGAAACAAGAAGGCAAAATCCAAGACTTTCTACAGTACTACAATAAAGCAGTATCCTTGCTTTTAGTCTCACTAAAGAATGGTGCTCGACATACTACAGGTACAATTTTAGCTATCTTACAATTGGCAACGATCGAAGTATGTACCGCGAATGAATATTCCAGGATGAAGTGCTGATTACTTATAGGAGTATCTCGGGGATTGGGCGAATCTTTTAGGCCATCAAAAGGCTGCATACGAAATATTGGTAGATCTATTTTCCCCACAAACAATCTTCGAGACAGGTATAGGCCGCGCCATTTTCGGATGGTATACACGTTTCGATGTCATGGCTGGGATTATGGGTGGTTTTGATGCCTCGATTTCAAGAGAATGGTTTTCATATGCACAGGAATATTTCAAGAATCGAATCGCGCAAGAACCAGATAATCTAGTATGGAAATTGGAGCATCAGGCGTCAGCAATGCGTCTTGTAGGCAAAGAGATGTCGACGTTATTTGCGAAGCAAGGAAAAGGAGAAATTACTCATGAACAATTTATCTTTGAAAATGCAAAGATGACACAGCGTATGAAGGATTGGAAAGACAATATGGACCCAGCGCTGCTGGATAGTCGATATTTGGTCACAGATTTCCCCCCAGCACAACTCGGGAGTCTATTTGATCCACGCATGCCAGGTGTACTTTATCGTGGGCCGCTTTGGGCGATTAACATAGATTCGATGGATCGGTATGCTGTAGCCTTGATGCATGGGCTGCATACTGCTCAGGCGATGCAGATGCCACCTGATTTTGAAGTTATGAACAGGTTATCCGAAGATTTATGTCAGATGTATGAGGCAATTTTGCATCATCCAGAGACACCAAAAGGGGCAGCCGTTGGCCTCCAAGGAGGTCTTGGTATTGCTGTGTTCTTTCTATCCAAAGATGAAGCATATAATATGTGGATGCGCCGAAAGTTGGCAACGATAGAGTCTCAGGGGTGATATGTACTTCCATTCACAGATTTTCTACTGCTAACACAATAATCAGGTTCATACAAACTTTCGCGTTCAGGAGCAAAATGGCAGAACTATTTCGAGATAATTCTTGCATGCATTGGTGGTTACCAAACGACGAACTATATCATCCAATAATTCGATCGATAAGAAAATTTGTCGAGGATCGAACCTCCTTGCCAAAGAACGCTGAGAGCAAAGACGTGCAGGACATGAAGGCGGTTTTCTCTGCTATGGATATTAGTGACCAGAGTGATAGCTCACCTCAAATGAGCAACAAGGGAAAGTCAGTATCCACGGATTTCGACGTAGCTAGCAGCTCGGGGTGGTCTCCTGCTCAGACAAGCAATGATTACAGTCAAAATGAATATGGGGGCGACTCTAGGAGCGAACAGTCTCCCTGGAACAATCAAACTGGGGGTTATTGATGAACAAGACGATTATTCGAAACCAAAAAGTACCGTAGGGACTATCATAGATTGGAATGGCTCCGTGGTGTTCGTTCAAACGCCCGTCGTGATGCCACTTCAGAGTCAATCCAACAATCCGACTCGAGGACATCGTCTTGAAACCATTACCTGAGGAAATTCAAGAGAAGAAGAAATAGGACAATTTACTAAGCTTTAGTACAGATTAGCGCAGTCGTAATGATCGCGTGGTTATAGTCCTCGAAGAGAGAGGACAGGAGCGGGGTCCCATCTTCCCCAGGGTGAAGCAATGGTCATCAGATGCTACAGAGAAAGCATTGCCTGCACGGAGTATGCGATCGTATATCAATGCAACATGCGTGGTATAATCTGACCACCCAACAATGTCAAATCGAACACCAAAATTTTAATGAATTAATGAGCAACCATAGATCTTGGCGTTGTGCGAAGTGAACAATAAAATAAACATTTGTATAGATGTCTCAAGATTTACCTTCATATACATGTGAGCACAAGGTTGTCTAGATTCCAGTTTCAAGAAGCACTACTACCTAGGCAGGTATTTGATGGCAGCGTAAATACTAATGAAATCTTGAATTGAGTTTGTATGAAAAAGTTCTGTATTTTTTATACACATATTGTCAATCTTCCATACTTCACGTCCGATGCATTGGTGATCTCTAGACGATGTGGTGTATTCTTGTAGTTGGTTCCTTGTAAGTTGTAACCGACCTTATCCAGAAGTAGACTACGGGGAGGCATGTGCCCATGCGCGCAATAAGGTTCCCCAAGCTTCATGAAATTCAATGGTTGATTGAACCAACGACTCTACTATCACAGCACATTCAAAAGCGCACAAGTTATCGTCCTAGGTCGGAAAATAATACGAAATAATTGATATCGGGAATCACAACATCGACCATGAATCGACCAGGTATGAGGCTCTCCAACTCCCTTTTCCACCCCACAACTGCCCCGCTGCACGGCTGCTAGAGAGAAGGGGGACAGCTTGCATTGGATGGTATTTCAAATGCGAGAGAATACCGGATGTCAGAAGGATAAGAGACCTAGCGGACCGCCAGCAGTGTATAGGCTCTCTAAGGCGTGGACTATGGATGGACCGCGGGAATATTGCACAAGCTCTGCATGAAGTTGGATTTTATGACCTAGATGGGATCGGATGAGAGAGCTTTCATGAAGGGGAGTTGCTGCGTCTGCTGGCGTAGTTTGAAGGGGTGAAATCGAGATCTGACATCCGAAGGCGAAGGAGTGTTCGTGTAGCTAGAAAGTGTTTGGGCGCATTAACCTGCAGCCTATCATGGGGCTTTCATTGAACCTTCAGTAGCGGAGGGACTAGTCACGGAAATATGCTGACTTTGTTTTCTCAGGTGTAGGACCGCAGGCCATGCGTGGCATACCCAATGGATTCCCAAATCAACAGCAGATGCAGAACAGGAACGTATCAAATAGGATACCACCCAGTGGGAAAAATGGGGTTACGATTCACACCCCTCATATTTGAAATAACAGGAGGAGACTTCATGTATATGATGTTTGTCGATGATTCAAGCAAACAATGAGCGACGTGGGCATTTGGAGGTGTACCGATGGGAGGAGCAGGCCTAGGAAATCCACGCCCAAACAAATGGACCTATGCAAGCTTTTGCACAAACAATAGGAGGATCTTCACAACCAGCAACACCACTAGATTTGTCGTAAGTTGTTGCCTTCTTTCGATTTTTGTACTCCCAGGTTTTTGTTGAGAGTATTTCTTCTTGCTCCAACCTTTCCCTCCTTCTCACAACAACTACTCAAATATGGGAAAAGCACGTTCATCAAGATATGGTGTCCCCCAACGTCCATATTCTCCTGGAAGGTACAAAATTCAAACAATCTTCAAATGTGCACAGTCAGGTTCCATACGTTAGAGATATAATTCATAGTTCTGTCGCATTCAGTACAGATTATACTGTCTGCTTGAACCTGTCTGAGTTTCGTTATTTTCTTTCTCAGCACTACAAATCTTGACAGTTCACTTTGCTCACATCATTTAGTGAGTTTCCCTCACTATCAGGAAACCAGCCTCAGCACAATCAGTCAACATGGGGAGCGGCAGGAGCACGTAATATTGGCCCAGCAAATATACGGTTACAGCAATCAGCTGGATTATCCGCACAACATGCTGCGCAACAACAGCAACAAGACGAGCTCTTCAACTCATCAACTCAATTATCGAACAATTCGGGTGGGTTCAGATTTGGGGCTCAAAACGCAGTTGGTCAGTCTTCCCAACCGAGAAGCGCAGATGATTTTCCACCTCTGGGAAATTCGAATGGAGAGATCGGCCAAGATCGAAGCTCTGGTCTATTACAAAATGTGGGGTTTGGAGCCGGTGGGGGATTAGGATTTGGTTCTAATAACCCACCACAGCAACAGCAAGCCAGGAGTAATGGCCTTTTAAGTGCATTATCTACTGGTGGCCGAGTGGCGCCAGGCAATAGAATTGATTCACCAGCAAGTTTGTCAGGTGAGTGAATTGCCAATGTTGATTGGGTGATATATTATTGACCTGCTCGGCTAATCTTATATTTTATTCAGGCCCATCCACGAATAGATCACCAATAGACTCCAGCCGGCAAGGTTTACCACGCCTTGGAGAGAATGAAGTCGGGGTATGTCAAAGAATCCCTCTAATGTATTGGGTTTCTGCTGATCAATTTGTCTAGAGCTTTCCAGACACTAATTTTGGCTCGTCAAATCCAATACCACTCAGAGAAGACGATAATCAACAATTTAATATGCATACAGCAACGAACTCTCGACCAGATGGCCCATCAACCCTGACTCAAGCACAAGAACTCGACCCTAGTTCTCTATCAAGAAGTACTGATAACGCGGACTCTAAAGTACAAGATCCATTGGCTCACATGAGTGATGCCGACAGATTTGGACTAAAGGGATTTTCCTACATGATGAACAATTTTCCCGACTATGCTGCTCTTGTCACTGGAACCGATATCAGCCATCTGGGCCTCGATCTAAATTCTGAGCAGTGAGTATTGGTTGGATAGAGTTCTGCCGTTCAAACTCGATATTTTAGCCATGCTAACAATTCACAAGCCCTATCTCAAACCAAATCTACTCTTTATGGGACAACGAGCCCCCACGACCAGATGTCGCTCGTTTCAACCTCCCTGAATGTTATCGTGTTCTTAATGTTGCTCCTCTCGAAAGCAAGATGCCTAATTTCAACGAAGAAGCCTTATTATTCATGTTCTACAGTAATCCGGGTGACAAGCAGCAGCTTATGGCAGCAAGGGAGCTGTAAGTAAAGTACCTTTCCATCGCAAGTCATTTACTAATACAATTGTTGCTTGATAGTGGCAATAGGAATTGGCGTTATCATAAAAAGATGCAAGTTTGGCTTACCAAGGATGATTTGATGGTTCCTCGTCAACTTACCCAACAGATGGAGCAAGGCTACTACATCTTTTTCGATGTAAAGACTTGGTCAAGACAACGAGTAAGTATCGTGATACTATTATCCCAGTATGTTCCACTAACTTTATTGTAGCGGGAATTCACATTGTCTTATGATGATTTGGAAAGAGTCGAAGATCGGTTTTAATTTATCCAATACAACCCATGGTCAAATTCGGTCTCTTTTTCTCGATTGGCAGAATCATGCATTTTTATGAATACCGCACCTATCGATCAAAATAACATGAATAATTTCACACGGCTGAATAAATAGTATCCTCGTTTCTCTAATTAATGGCACAAGACTTGTATTTGCTACGGGGCATATATGGGGCTTGGCTTTCTTTTTTAGCGGAGTACATAGGAGGGAATAACTTGCTCTGGCTGCTGGACTCTTTTATGACTGGCTGGCGTTTCGATTGTGGAGCTGTGCAAAAACTCGCTGGATTGGGGACGGTTGCGGGTATGATGGGCAGAGAGGGGGATCTGACGTAGCAATTAAATGAATTGTACGTTGCCTCATCTTATACTACTTTGTGATGTGATACCGAGTGAATTGAATGTTTCTTGATGTTGATACGCGGTGACTATGGTGCGACGAAAATGACAAGATTCTTAGTATTTAGTCTAGACATTCTCATCAGAATTGATGTCGATTGAATCAGTTCTCCAAAGAACTCACAATCAAGTCATGCGCAATACACACAGGTACTGAAAATCTCAAAATCTCTTCATTATGATCATTACATACAAAGTCCAACAATCAAAGCTACATACAGTACAATAAAATACAGTTCGAGAAGAAGAAATATATATACACGAAACCATGAGCCAAAGACCTCCGAGACTACTTTTGACTTTCAAGACTTTAAAACCTCAAGTCGAGCCTCCAGGGCATATCCATTATCCATTAACACATCACATCATATCCTCCCGGCAATACATTCCTCCTCCACCTCCACCGTCCTCACCACATCAATATGTATATCCCAACCCCCTTCCTTTTCCTTCCGCCCCGATTCCTCCGAGAGAGACATATAAAGATCATCATTTTCTCTATCCTGGTTCCTCGATCGATTCCGCGAGCGATCGCCGCCAAGCGATAATTTGTCCCGTCGCACGGAGCCCAGGATATTGCGTCCTAGATTCGCGATATTATGGGTGCTGCTGGAGACTGGATTGCTGTTTAGTGGGGATATCACGGATGCGGTTCCGATGTGCATTTCCTCGTCGGAGACTATCGGGCATGTGCTGCTTGTTTTGCTCAAAGTGCTAGAGCGGTTTGTGTAGGTGCCGAGTTCGAAAATGCTCGTTCCGACGGTTTGGTCGAGGTCGGTGTCATTATCGTATTGGGTGTCTTTTTCGCGTCCGTTTAGAGGGATTTGGGAGCTTTGACTGCTGAGGACTTTGGAACTGGAGTTTGAACGTGATTTTGATTTGGGGAGAGAGTTTGTGGATTTGGAGGTCGATGTGATGCCGAAGCCGGAAGGTGGGACTGGGAGGCTCTTGAAAATATTTGGGGCACTGAAAGAAGATTGGGAGGGGCGAGAGAGATGTGAGTTAAAGATTTTGGGAATGTAGGTTGCGAAGAAGACTTTTGTGGCGGGGATGGAGGTGCATATCTAGTTGGGAAGTGTTAGGGTCCGGCGTTCTAGGAAGTGGGGGAAGGGGGAGCATTGAGTGACTTACAATTCCAACATATAATTCTACAGCTGCGGAAACCCATACGGGGAAAGAAGCCCATACTTGATCATATGTTTGTGTTACTTGGTACATGTAGTATGTACGAATGACACCTGCAAAACATGATAGGAAACCGAGAGTGAAGAGGAAAGAGACGATGAGAGTTTGACGACGTGGGAGATTTGTCGAGTACTATTTTGCTATAGTTAGAATTTGGGTTGTGGATAAGAGGGATGAGATTACTACCACTGTACGGATGGGAAGGATGACCACGAGAAAGTCTGTAAGAGTGTTGACGATTCCGGCAAGAAGGAGTGTTGAAGATTGATCTATACAATTCGGTTGGGGCTCGTCTGTTATTTTCCAGTAATCCTGCGGGGGTCTATGACGTGTTAGTATGTACATCATTGGACATCTCGACACTTGCCCCCCGTTGGCATATCAAACATAAGGAAAAAGCAATGATATTAACTAACCTACATTGAAACACCAACACGATACAAAACAAGGCTCCTTGTAAGCCGACTATACAAATAGCAGCCAGAGTCACCCGTCTCCAGAATATCGTGGCACTGGTTAACATGCGACGAACAAGCATTAACATGGATAATTTGGTGAAGGTGCATGCTGATGCAAACATAATCTCTATCAAGAGGACCATCTTCAGTCCAAATTCTACATGTGAGCTTGGGATGTCATACTAGATTATTGTTAGTGATGGTTACAGAGAAGGATTTGGTGTGGTGAGAGGGATACATACTTGATGTCTGGTCCACATAAATTTCAAATCTGCCAGCAGACTCAGAACAAAGAACCCGGTCGTGGAATCTACATCATCATGGCATTAGCATTTCCAATCGTATAATGTCGTATCCATATCCATCTTCTTTGCATGTGCAGACTCTGGTCCGGATAATAGGTAAGACCAACCATAGCAAACAGGATCATCATATCATCCGCCCCAAACGAAGCCCGCAGTCTTGTCCTCGTCCATATCCTCAGTGAAATAAAGCAACATAGGACTACGTATAACACGATATTCAGAATAACATTCCCCCATCCGTGTGTTTCTGGATCGACGTAATTGGGCTCAGGCCAAGCGGCTATTACCCAGGCGGGAGGTTTTTGCATGTTGCAAGTGGTCTCTGCGACTTCAGACGTAAAAAAACTCGTTGGAGATCGAAAGGAAAGGAAGATATAATGTAGATCCAAAAAAAGATTGCGAAAGATTGTGGAGGGAATGAGACACTACTAGCTTCCTAGTATTCAATAGATAACGGGAAGGGTTCAAAAGAAAGTAAGATGCATCTCATATCAATACGTCAAGCAAAGACAAAGATGTATGTGCAATTAGGACCAGTAGTAACCAGTAAGAGAAATTAGAGACAGCAATCAGCAAAAGTGAGAACGAGAAGAGAAAGAGAGAGAAAGTAGACTTTTCAAAGAGGGTACTACAGCGATTAAAACCGAACGGTTTGCGGTTAAGCATTCTCGCTGTGACCAGCCTTAAATCCGTTGAAAAGCGCATCGCATCTTTTCCACTTAGACCAGTCCTGCAATTCCTCTTCTTACTAGGTTACCATATCTACGGAGTACGACCTTGCCGTGCCGCTGATATGTAACTATCATTGGCCACTTGGAGGCCATGAGGAAGAACATGCGGAGAATCCTTACAATCTTATCTTTCGTCCAATCCAGATGCAGAGAGAGAACTCTCAAACGATGGATCATGGGAGTAGGTATCTTGGACACCTCCGATGGATGGGATAATTTATATTAAGACTCCGTGCAGAATTCGGGTGGATGTCGCACATGCACCAGTGGCGATGCAAACAGCAATTACACAGACACAGATATATAGCAGACCCTGCTTCCCCCGCTGGCTTTGTATGTCTCTAACTAATCTAGAGCATCAAGGCCTCGGGTTTGATACTTCATGGGATGGGAGAATGGTTCGATTTTGATCATAAGCTTCACACTATTGAGAACATTTTTCGGTCAGTGGCTCAGAAAGTATTTGAGACTTGAGATGAAAGGGAGATTGTGATAGGCAGTGATTTTAGCGACGCCTAGTCCATCTCGAAAAAAAGGTGAAAGAGAACATCAAAATGTTTAAGTGCTATGTCTGTGTGTCTGCGCTATTGAAGGCTCTCGGACTAAAACTTTCGATAATGACTCGAGAGAAAAACGTGGTGTCGTACATGTGGAATGATTCAAATCGTGGCTTTACAATGCGGTCCTGATTACCCTAGTGTTTTACATCTTCACGTGTAGTCTTGGGCTACATTTCATTATTCAGGTTCAAGGAAGGTATTTTGGCTCAAAAGTATCTCGCGTGATTGATTTTTTCATACTTGCGGTCAGAACAGTTCTGATAGTGAAGAAGAGTTCATAAAATCCATAAGCCATGACCAATAAAGGCGAGGAAACAATGATACCCCATTACACACAACCACCCTTTCATAAATGTCGATATATCTATGAAGCTTTCTTTGCGAACTCGACTCGTAAAATCAAATGCTTGAAACCATAACCATCCATTTTTTCGCAAGCCTTTGCAGCATCTGATCTTTCCTGGAAACTAATAAATGCAAAGCCCTTTGCCAAACCAGTTTCTCGGTCCTTCGCCAAAAAGACTCTTGTGACTCTGCCGAAACGTTCGAACATATCCCGAAGTTCTTGTTCCTCGGCCATTTCTGAGACCTATTCTGTGGATTAGCGAAGGAGATTAGATTAATGGGACATAGGAAACTTACGTTAGTGACACGTAGAGTAGCCAAATCATCTCTCTCGAACTTGCCGCCACCCATTCTCTCACCACCAGCGGTACCGCCATTTCTGAGATGAGGTGGTACGTATGAAGATTTGCCAGCACCAAGACCACCTGGACCCTCTGGAGTATCTGCGTGACCAGCTGCAACATCGACTGCTCCCTCCTCGCCCAAAGGTGCCATTGTGCCTTTGAAAGGACATTTAGCTGTGAAATGCTCTCCGCTACAAATACGACATTTGACTTGCTTGTCCTTCAACTTGTTCTTCATAGCTCCGGCATCCGAAACCTCCTCCTTGGCGTCCTTTCTCCAGTTTGTGCTTGGTCTGAATATAATGTTCTCTCCTACACTGGTTGTATCCGAGGCAGGCTGAAGTTACAAATCAGTCAACATTCCCCCCTAGATTGGAACCCTTTTGAACTCACCCCTGCAGCATCCTTTTGGGATAATCCGAATTTGCTCCAGGACTTTCTCTCAGCAACTCTTGGGTTCACAATTTCCTTGACTTTCGTGAATCTGATGCGGCGGGTAGTCTTGACCTTCTTTCCATCATCGTTGAATCTCCAGGTTACAATTGTTTGTGTGCCATCTTTATTGGTAGTGGTGGTTGACTGTGGGAGCTCGTTAGAATCCTCGAGATCCTCATCGTCGGCCCAATCGCGATTACTATGGTATTTGTTAGATTTTGCTGAGGCTTGGTTAAAAATGCCGAATTTTCTCACTTTGCGACTCTAGACATTTTTTTGATAGGTGTGCTTTTTGCCTTTGTAGGGTGATGTAATGCGCTTGTTACGACCCCAAGATACGAGCCTTTTGCTGTATCAAGCTCCCTAATTATCTCTGCTAAAATTCGATGGCAGAGTAGTTGATCGTGACTTCGATTGTGGGGTGGTTCGATGTTCAACGTGAAGTTCTTATTTAAAATATCGCTTTGAGTGGGTGGGCAAATTTGCTAGGGCGAGCTTTCGTTATCCAATAATTGATCTAACCGTTTCCGGCACTAGCGGGGTAACATACAGCCTTGTCTTGCTCCCGTCGCACCCTTTCAAGGCTTCAATACTTTCAAAGCATTCCACCAACTGTCTTTTGACTCATCTGAAAAGATTCCATTTAACCTGGTAAATAACGGTCTTGTGAGAGTAGTAAGATCATTGAGGTAATATTGTGGCAAGTTTTATGGTACAAACTTTCACTTCGTTTTGAAGAAACTCAACCTCATTGAGTACTAGGTAGGCAATTCAAATAGTTCAGTGAGCTAGTCAGTCATAAGGAGGGATCGTATGCTACTTATTGTCAAGTTGTTAATCACCCCAGGGTTTTCAAAAGAAATGTGAAACTACTCTCAAGTTTAGACGATTGAGGAATTCATCATCGTATTCATGTACTATGGATATCTTTTCATATTTGTGACACACCCGAGAGAGGTCTGGGCATGAGCTTTTGGTCAAGTCAAATAACAGTTTGAAGTAGAGTACGAAAGAGTCATTAATGTCACATGTAATTAGATGTTGGGATGGTTGAATTGAGTCATGAGAGGGGATGTCATATTATTCGTCGTCTTATCCTAATTTTTATACACAGCTAGAGTAATGCCATTTTCCGTAATTTTGCCTCATAACACATTCCCTGAACGCTTAAATCTAGCGAACAGTATTGGTTGCTCCAACGCCTTTTGTCCCAAAGCTATGAAGAGTAAAAAAAGAGTATTTATGACAAGGGAAATTGTTGCCTATATGCAACATATGAGTACAAAAATACAATGAACAGTTGTTCTATGTGTGCCCCTGGATATCGCTAAAAAGAGTTGAGATGAAATATGCCCATATTAATGTTTTCAAGGCTTCTTCTCGCCATCCTTAGCCTCGCCTTCTGATGCGCTGCCCTCGGTACCTTCTGGCTTGGCCTCACCGGACTCGGCGCGGGCCTTGTGCATCTTGTCGAAAAGGTTCAAGCTAGCCATTTGGAGCTCGTCGGTCTTCTCCTTCAACTCAGCAGCAGTAGCAGTGCCTTCTCCGGACTGGCTCTTGCTGACGAACTCACGGAGTGCGGTAATCTTCTCACGGATACCATCAGCCTCGGTCTTGTCAAGTCTGTCGGCGAATTCGTTCAAAGCCTTCTCGGTATCGTTAAGAACACTGTCAGATCGGTTGGCAGCCTCAATAGCGGCCTTACGCTCCTTATCAGACTCGGCATATCTCTCAGAGTCATCAACCATGTTTTGGATCTCAGCATCAGAAAGACCAGAGCCGGAGGCAATGGTGATGGAGTGATCCTTGTTGGTTGACTTGTCCTTGGCGTGGACATGGACGATAGCGTCGGCATCAATGTCAAAAGTGACCTCAATTTGAGGAACACCTCTGTGAGCAGGTGGGATACCAACAAGTTGGAAGTTTCCGAGCATCTTGTTGTCGCGGACAAGCTCACGCTCACCTTGGTAAACCTTGATCTCGACAGCAGTTTGGAAATCGGCGGCGGTAGAGAAGATTTGAGACTTCTTGGTGGGGATGGTAGTGTTTCGGTTAATCAATCTGGTGAATACACCTCCGAGGGTCTCAATACCAAGAGACAACGGAGTAACATCCAAGAGAAGGACGTCTGTAACGTTACCAGCGAGGACACCACCTTGAATAGCGGCACCCATGGCAACAGCCTCATCTGGGTTGACAGACTTGGCGGGGTCACGACCAAAGATGGACTTGACTGACTCGCTGACCTTTGGCATACGGGTCATTCCACCAACTAAGATAACTTCTTGAATATCCTTGGCGGCGAGGTTGGCATCCTTCAAAGCCTTTCTTACTGGCTCGATAGTGCGGGTGATCAATGGATCGACGAGCTTCTCGAGTTGAGATCTAGAAAGCTTTTGGTTAATGTGCTTTGGTCCAGAAGAGTCGGCAGTGATGAAAGGAAGGTTGATGTCAGTTTGCATGGAGGAAGATAACTCGATCTTAGCCTTCTCAGCAGCTTCACGGATACGTTGAATGGCCATACGATCACCGGAGAGATCGATGCCGGAATCCTTCTTGAATTGTTGAACCAAGTGGCGAACCAAGTGGATATCGAAATCTTCTCCTCCCAAGTGAGTATCTCCGTTGGTAGACTTGACTTCGAAAACACCCTTTTGAATCTCGAGGACAGAGATATCGAAAGTACCTCCACCCAAATCGTAGACAGCGATGATCTTGTCCTCATCCTTCTCCAATCCGTAGGCAAGAGCGGCAGCAGTTGGCTCGTTGACAACTCTGAGAACGTTCAAACCAGCAATTTGACCAGCATCCTTGGTGGCTTGACGTTGGGAATCGTTGAAGTAGGCTGGAACGGTAACAACGGCATTTTGAACAGGCTTAGTAAGGTAGGCCTCGGCGGTTTCTTTCATCTTTTGCAAGACGAATCCACCAATCTGCGATGGAGAGTATTTCTCGCCGCGAGCGGAAACCCAGGCGTCACCGTTTGTGTGTTGAACGATCTTGTATGGAACCTCCTTGATATCACGTTGAACCTCAGCGTCAGTGAACTTTCGTCCGATCAAACGCTTTGTTGCGAACAATGTGTTCTCTGGGTTGACAACAGCTTGACGCTTTGCAGATACACCGACCAATCTCTCACCATCTTGTGCGAAAGCTACTACGGATGGAGTTGTACGGGCACCTAGGAATCGAGTTAGTGCGGGGTCAACAGCAGTGAAATTGAAAGGTAGTAATTACCTTCTGAGTTCTCGATAATCTTAGCAGTTTGTCCTTCCATCACAGCAACCGCTGAGTTAGTGGTACCTGTTGAGAGATTAGTATGCGATTCGAAAACGCTTGCTTGCCACTGCGTGGAATATACATACCCAAATCAATACCAATGACTGGTCCCTTGACCTTCTTATCCGCATCATCTGAGTTCCATCGTCTGGTAAACGATGATCCTAATGGTGTGCGGAGAGGTGCTGTGCGTGTGACGGATGAAGTTGCTCTTGGAAGCTATTGAGCAAGAAAAGTTAGCTATTGTGTTGATAATGTCATAGTAGTTACTCTGCATCAATTCGAAAACTTACAGCTCTGGAAATTCTGGAAGCAAACATCTTTATTTGTATTGCTTCTATGATAAAGGAAACTCAATTGTAGAAGTAATATGAATTAAGTATGAGAAGAAGGAATGGGTAGAAAAAAGGTATAAGTAGAGGATTTACAAGATTGAGGCGATGGAGGGAGAAAATATAAATCAACGGCGGGCTACAAGGAAAAAAATGTCATTTTTAGTTTTAGCGTCTTTTTCTTGGTCAATTGGTAGAACATCATCGAAACCACAAGCACGTGACTGAGCGCAAGGACGCTCGGACACATTCGATGTGGCAAGGATTATGAGGTTATCAGGCTATCGAATGTGTGCTTATGTCATTATCCACTCAGAATGCGGGATACGATTAGTTGCCGAAACTAGTGAACTTGACGTCGTGAAATGAATATTGAAACTTTGAGCTTGACATTTATCAATCACAACATCTGTTTCTGTATCTCCTCAATACACTTTACAGTTTGGAAAGCTTTAAATCATCCCTTTCATCAAAAGAACAGGAGTCTTTTGAAAGACCACATATGGGTGCATAAATAATATTCAGTATCTTCACAGTTTAATCGCAGCCTGTTACTTAAATACTTTGTTTATATCCTGTTGTGCATGGTTGCAATATCTTGAATGCATGGCAGTATGGCTGTCAAAGAAGAAAGCTCGTGAGTCTGTACAACGTAATGCTTGTTATAACTACTCAGTTCTGATTTGCATTCTGATCACTTGTACTTTGATAGATATCATCCTACTGACGACTTAATTCGATCGTCGCCACGGAAATACTATCGAGCCTCCATTAGCCCAAGGTACGGAAGATGCCTTATTGTGCGCATTCATGTTCGAAACAGATCCAAAGATGTAGAAGTTCATTCGTTGCTGCAGAACTCTTGATGACTTCTATCAACTACTGCTTCTTATGAAAAATCAGTCGGAATTACATTGCCTTCCATAGCAGTTGCTGGTGTCTGCCGAATAGAATGACGCGGTTTCTAACTTTTTATAGTCATTGGCAATTGCACGATTTGCTGAGCTCTCCGAAACAGCATGTTGTTTACTATCCGAGTTCGCACGACATAATTTGTCTTAATACAAAATCTCGCGAGCGCGAGCTTCTCGCAACTTTAAAATACGAGCCGCGATGTTTGACGGCTGCAAAGGATTGGGTATGCGCCGGAGGAGATAGAGGTCAATTCACAAGCTTTTATGTGGGAGAAGGAGAGAGACCTGGCAAGACTGATTCGCTTTTGGATTTGAGTGCTGATGCCGATGCTCGATTACCTCTCATCCTACAACCGTCAGCAAGATCAACTCAAAGAGAAACCACCGATGATTCCCGAAGATCTAGTCCTGATGCAACTACTTCGAATGTGTCCAAGAAGATAGGTTCTGACGTGGTGAACTGTATAACACTTTGGTTCCCTTCAGAAACATCGTTGCCCATGGGATACAAGGAACCTGTTGCTGTTGCAGCGCTCAACGATAGCTCTGTTGCTATACTTAACTTACATGACTCCGAGATGGTGGATGCTCTCACTTATCCTGATTATGTGAACCGCGCTGTAATATCACCGAAAGGAAACATCCTCATTGCAATGTATGCTCCTCAGGTTCACTCGACGTTGACACTTTATTAATTTGAAATAGTTGCGATGATCCATTCCTCTATATCCACAAAAGGCAGCAGAAACAGGTCTCCAAAACTCATTTTACGTCGCATGTGAATGAGGGGTATGAGTGGATATTTTCTGGCAGGATTCAGCTCGAAGGACAACGACCATCGGACAAAAGTGCCATGAGAGGTTCGTTTGCAGCATGCTTTTCTAGTTCGGGCAAGTATCTTGCTGTGGCCACTCAATATGGAGTTATATCGATTTTCTTAACTGAAAGACTAATTAAAGACGATGTCGATCCATTGGAGATTACTTTTACCACATCACGACCTAATGTTGAATCTGGGGCTGTTAGAGCCATGGAATTCTCGCCAAATAACTTTGATCTACTCGCTTGGACTGAAGCTAGTGGACGTGTTGGAGTGGCAGATGTCCGGGATTTGTTCACTTCCAGGCAAGTAATCGATATAAATGCTCGAGGGGAGGGCGTTGAACGAGTCTGGGTTACTGAGCGCTCAAATAATCCTATGTCAATAGAGGCTAGGGTAGATGCAAGGCTTCGTGCTTCTCATACAGAGTCACCTTCTGAGGCTTCTGCCAGCGCAATACCAGACTATCTAGGCTTGGATTTTGATCAACATCAGCAAAGGAGCCTTGCCCGCGATTTAAGTGACAGACACCAACTTCCGCCAACTGCTGATGAAATGGAAATATTACAGGCACATCGAACAGCTCGTCGACAAAGGGATGCAATCCGTGAGGCGCGAGAAACGGGAACCACTTCTAGATGGGGTATTTTGGAAGGAGGTAGAATGACAGACATTTTCGCTGACACTGAACGTCGCATATCCACAGCTGGTCTCCCAAGTGCTTTACGAGAATTTGTTAATTCAGACCGCACACCGGCTTCCTTTCGAGCCTTCATCGATAGACAGAATCAGGACCGTGAAAGGCGTGTAGTACAGAACGAAATAAGGAATGTGATCAGGCGACAACAAGCATCATCAGTATTAGACAATACCACAGTAGATGCCGAGTCTGACAGAACCGTACGGACAAGTGCAGATACCTTTTCTGGGTTAGAGCGTCTGTCACTCGCTCCTCGTCTCCCAACCATTGGATATGAAGCAGCCCCTAATGCTTGGGCTGAACTTGAAGAAGTGTATCGAACACGGTACTCTCGAGATCAACTTGACGATGAAGAGGAAGAAAATCAAGCATCCGCTCAAAGATTAAGACAGCTATGGCGTCCCTTGGATGCGCTCACTAGACTTAGTCTTGACGTGAGGAACGATAGTAATGTATTGAGACGAGAGCGAGAGGGTAGAAGTGAGCCAGTTGACACCATGGGGCTCGCTTGGAGCGAAGATAGTAGGCTACTGTATGTGCTTTTGTATACTTTTTTATATTCACAATGCTGACCATTCACAGATACGTTGGTGCCGGAGATGGAATTCATGAGTATCAGGTGAATGTGGCGGGACGAAAAATATTTCCTCATCGTGTATTACAATAGTTGTATATTGAATGAAATTTGGAAGGTCGTTTTGGGAAGTGGGAGGGGATCGGAGTCTGGAAATTTATTGGCATGGCGCATACCAGAATGTCCATGAAATGATTTGCTTACCTACAAAATCTGGCTCTTGAAAGTCTTCTATCGAATTAATAATAATATATACAAAATCTCAGTCTATTTATTAATCATCTCAATTTCTCAGTTATGAAAGCGCACCAACCAAAGAAGGCAAGCATCCCGAATATGCTTGATCAAAGGTCATGTGACATGGTACTGCCTAAACTAAACTGATTTGAGCTTCACATGCTTGTCTAGCTACCCTTGGTGCCTTGAACTGTGTTCCAGTTTTAGAAAAATGCATACCTGGTACCTATGATATATGATATTGACAAATCGACTGATACATGTCTTTCTGGGTATAGGTATAGGTATAAAGTATAAGTATAAAAGCTTTGTGTTAACCTAATTTTGTATCGTTGATTTGCTAAAATTTATCTTCTCTTCCAACTTCTCCCCCTCTTTAAACTATTAAACGAGAACGACACCATCAATCATGGAAATTGATGCTCTTCAAGTCAATCAACCAGGATTGCTGCTCGGGAATCAGGAGTCCACTGTCTGTTTTGCGATCCAAAGCTATTTACACGCGCTCAAGTACTAAGCCAGTCAAGCTTCTGGAAAATAGACAATGAGACTAATCATAAAGTGTAGAATCGATTCCAAGATGAGCCACAGATTTATGAACAATTCATAGGAATTATTCAGAATTTTCATGAAGACGAAGAAATGTTACGCGAAGATCTTGAGGCGACCGTTGGAGAGATTTTGCAAGGACATGATGATCTAATTCAAGAGTATCAGCGCATCCGCATACTTTTCGATGCACGAGAAGATTTCGAGCTGGCCAGAGAACAAGTCGAGGAGCAGGAGAAAGAAGCGCGCCGGAGAATCGCAAGTGCGGAAAGACAAGCAGCGCATATACGAGCGTGCGAGGCGCAGAGTAAATCCGCGCTCCTGCGTCTCCCGAGGGAAATCAGAGATGCGATTTGGAATGAGGTCGTGCGGGGGAATATAGTGCATATTTCCCGGATTGACGGTGTTGATGCTTCGTCGTCGTCGTCGACATCTTTTAAATACCATTCGTGCGTGGCGACCACGGGACTCAAAAGCTCGGCCTGTCCGGCGGGAGAGGGGGATCATGCGCTGTGTGCGAGAAGCAGGCGCTCGGATTTTCCTTCCTATCGTTTGGTGTGCAGACAGATGAATCTGGAACTTCCGGAAGCGAGAGCAACGTTTTTTGCGAAAAATGCGCTGCATTTTGATAATGTGGAGGATGCGGAGGAGTTTCTTTTCGGGTTGAAGGAGTGTGAGCGAGCGGCTATCACGCATATCAGATTACCGGTTTCGTATTGGTTGGCAATGGAAAATCATGATGAGGGAAGAAGGGAGTTTAGAGCATGGGAAGCGATTATGAATTATTTTAGTTGTCCATGGGCTCGAGACACGGTATGTGGTATTTTTTTTCCTTCTTCGATTTCTGGGTTTGTGTGGATTATTGGAGCTGTGAATACTGATTTACTTCCTCATCTTAGCTCCATCTATATGAAGAGGACTCACAGTTCTTGAAAGAACCATGGTTCTTTTACTATTCCTCCTGTTATTACTACGAAAACAGGGATCGCATGTACAAAAAATGGCAAGTCGGATTCGGTAACACAAGTTGGGATATAGATATTGCATCTCTCCGCTACAAAGCCGAGCCCAGAATCGATATCGGGATGAGCTATCCGGAATCTGGTGAGTTGATTTCTTCATCCCCTCATTTGCATATCTCATTTTGCCCCATTCGTCAACCGACCCCCCGCCTTCCCTCCAATTAACTAATTAACTAAACATCCCCCTCCCCTCTAGCACACAGCACCCTCTTCCGTCTGCGTCCCCGCAACCACATCCCTTTTTCAACACAATTCGACAATCCCCCACCATGGCTCCGCTCCCTCCTCCAATTCCGCCAATACTCCGGGTTGAATTTTCATTTCTGGGCCTCCGAACCCACTTCTAAAGAGTATGGAATTCTGCGCGTTCCTCGACACGAAGCGTTTATCGAAGCCTTGCAGGAACAAGTCTCGCGCTCGGAAATTGGTCCCTGGAAACTCGTAGAGTTTAGACAGAAGCCGTTTGGAAATCCGGATAGGGCGTCGTTGAGGAACTTGTAGGGGCATGCAGGGAGAGTGGTTTGGATGATGTAATGACACTTGCTTTCATAGCTAGAGATTTGAATGGTTGTGAATTGTGTGGAAAACTGTGCATGTCTTCTTCTTTCAAAAAAAAAAAAAAAAAAAAAAAAAAAAAAGATAAAACCTCCCCGATTCCTATACATTCAAATGGGTATTAATTTCCTTAACAACTTCCATCCCATTTCTCGCTTGATATCTCATCCTCACTTCATCGTGGGATTTTAATATTTCCTCCACATTTCCCCCACGTTTCCTTCATTATCAACCAGTATCCCTCCCAACTTAGAAATTCACTCTCCCATTCCCTATTAATCCATAACCCCAAATCCACCTCCAACCATCAACACACCCCAAACAATCCACGCTCCCCCAACTCTCATTCTCTCCGCACCACCCTCACTAATCGTACTCGGTGCACTCGTTCCTATCGCTGTTCCCGTCACGGTCCTCGAACTACTCGTCCTCGACACCGATGCTGTAGTACCACCACCACCACTAACACCCGTCCCCCCCAACAACGACGACAAACTCCCCGTCGCGCTTGCACCCGCACTCACACTTCCACTCCCCGTCGTCCCATTACCCGCACTTCCCAACCCGGAAGAAGCTGTAGACGTAGTCCACACAGTCGTCGTTCCCGTCGGGGTCGGCGTGACCGTTTTCGTCGTGCTGGTTATTAATTCCCCCGTATTCGTGTTCGTGGTTATTCCCGTTTGCGATGTCATCTGAGGTATTGGGGTAGGTTTCACTGTTGATTTGGACGGTAAAGTTGCAGCAGAAGAAGAAACAGTATCTGGATTTAAAGTTCCGCAATTCTGTTCTTCAGTGTCCCTACATGCTTTCTGCGCAGCGGGATCATCTTCTCCGGCTGCGATACATTCTAAGTATGTTTGTTCGCAGACGAAGAATGGGATTGTGGAGGTGTATAGCTGGAGAGCGGGAGGTGAGGAGTTGGAAGTGCAGATGCATGAGTAGCAGAGGGATGTCTATAGGGTGTGTTAGGGATAGGGGAGAAATGTATATGGAAGAGGAGTGATTTGAGATGCAAGAGATGAGCGAAAATTGGATACGTACTATATCACATGTATTTTCATCCGTGACACCACCGCAAAGGGTTCCGCATGTGTTGATTTGAACAGTACACCATTGAGCTGAATATAAAATTAGTTAATTAGATTCTCGTAGAACATTCTAACGGAATATAATATAAGAAAGGTAACCCTAAATAACTTACAGCGAGTAGCAGCATCGATACTTCTTGGATCAATCTGCGTTTGACAAATCGAAGCCGTCCCTCTCACCACCATCGCAAATTGTGCGACTAGACTTAAAATTTGCACGACTCTCATGATGAAGAAGATCTGTGGACTTCCACTTGAGAAATCAGATAATTTGCGAGAAAAAATTAATGAACTATTAAATCATAAATCTCCCAAATAAACTGTGACAACGAGCGCGATAATCTGCGAAATGTAAAGAAGTAGTGTAAAGCCGCCCGTTATGTAAAAAGGATCCCCCGTAAAACGAATGTCAAACAAAAACTGCGGCGAGCAAGTATATCTCTGTACGTAGGTATCTATATATATATGTAGGTAAAAAAATCAAAGCGAGCGCAGTCTGATGGATTCCAACGATAGTATTGTATGCAACCCTCGAACCTCAGAGCAAAAATAAATCCGGCACAAATCGAATCAAGTTAAAAAAGCAATGAAAAGAATCCGGAGAATATCAGATATTCATATATTCTCCAATCCCATTTCATTTAAATAAAAAATCGAGGAAGAAAGTAAGAGTGGAGGACAGCCTTGCACATCCATCCACCACACGGAGACACCAGAATTTATGTAATTAAACCGTTAGATACACCGGTGTACCTCTCGTACATCTGGAGATTTGTATGCGTGGCTTGCTTATATTTTCTCACTTACTTACTTCCTCCTTCCATGCAAATTCAATGCTTTCCTGTGTAGGCACCGGGGCCTCCCATCCATCTATCTGCAATGCTGACATGACAGACACACACTTGTTTGAGCACGCGAACGAAAAATTTGGGTACCTACCTAGGTACACCTGCATCGGTGAAAAAACTCAATTTTTTTTCTTCCCAAAGAAATCTGTTCATGGGGTTGACCTTTGAACCACCAACTCAAGCTGTGCATGACAAACACGAAGAGCATGATCTGAATACGAAGTGTACCCCTCCCCTCGGTCCCAGAACATCCACCCATCCACTCCAAATCTCCACATCTCCAGGATCCACGAATCAGGAGAAGAAGTGCGCACGATTAACGGACACAAATCCATTTTGGGAGATGTTCCCGATGCAGATGGGTTTCTGGGTTCGAGGTGTGCCTGCAGATCCGAGGTGCGCAGTCGGTCGGGTCGGGTTGATTGGGGATGGTGTCCGAAGGGTACCCGGGTCGGAATGGAATGGAATGGGTGCGGTGTGGTGTTGTGTTGTGTTGGGTTGGGTTGGGAGAGTTAGTGTAGGGCAGATAGTATGGTACTATGGTGCTAGTGTGGAGATGCGCGCAGGTACGAGATTGGTTGGGATCTTGGGTTTGGGGGAGGGTTTGGATGGTCATGATGGGTTGGGTTGGATGTTGTGGGGAATGAATGGAGGAAGTATGTGGTTAGGATTGTGTCACCATCCACCCATACCTACCTACCTTTGTATTATCCGCTACCATTCCATAGCTCGTGATGTACCAATGCATCGAAATATATTCTATCAATGCCCATAGAGACTACCCATCAAAGACTTACTCTTAATCCATTACGCTTTTCATCACCATGAATTGCGGCTCATCCCGTGACATAGGTTAAACCATCCTTCACCAAATCAGCTGTTCTTACATAGTAATCCTGCATTCATACTATGAATGAACTTCCCGAAGTAAATCCTCACATCACCCTCTCAACCGCAAAGCAAAAGTCCAATTTGATATTGAAAACAAACATATAAACATATATCATCATATTAAATTTCATATTCGTAGCCTCTCAATCCCAGCAGCTTAGCTTGGCTTAGCTTAGGTAGGTAGCTCTAGTACTTCCCAATAGATAGTTTTTCATCATCTCGTACGCTATATCCGATTTACCAGCCCTCAAACTCCTTTTCCAGATCCCGCCCCTATCAACAATTTGACAAACATACACACGCACAGAGTCCAACCGATTATCTGACCCCCTCCCATCAATTATTTTCCTTCCCTCCCTAACCCCACCTCCCCCGCCTTCCCCATCTCAAAACTTCCACTCCCACTCCCGTGTTCCCCCACCGTTCCCATTTCCCTCCCCTCAAAAGCCCTCTCCTCCGCCTCTCTTTCCCCCAAATCCCCCGCCAAACTCTCCACCTCCTCATCCTCATCCTCCTCCGGCAACCCCAGATTCAACGCCACGGCCACAAACGCCGTCACCGCAAATCCCGTCTCCATCACCAAAACAATCGCATCGAAGAATCCCGCCTTCGCCCTATTATCCCCGGTGTACGTAAAAACATACGAAAACCACGTTGGCACGAGCGTCGCTCCATAACCCAGCGCCAAACTAGCCGTCAAGATAAATCTCGTCCTCCTCGTAAACGGCACCGTTGAGATAATTCTCAGACCCGAGACCGCCACACTCGCGAAGAGGAAAGTTGTCATGCCGCCTAGAACCGCATCTGGAATCGACGTGATAGCCGCTGCGAATTTAGCAAAGACGCCCATGACGACGAGGAAAAAGCATGCTGCGAAACCGGCTTTGCGGTTGGCGCAACGTGTCAAGGCGATGACACCGTTGTTTTGAGCAAAGGTTGACATGGGAGTGATGGTGCAGAGTCCGGCTAACATGCCATTAAGACCATCTGCGAGGACACCTCCTTGAATACGCGAATCGAAGAGGATACCGTCGACTTGGAGACGAGATACATCGCAGGTGGCGGTTATGTCGCCAATGGCTTCCATCATCAGGATAAGGTAGATGGCTAGAAGAGGTAGTATAAAAGGACCGTAGACGCTTAGTGGGAAAGTTTTAACCCAGATGAAAGATGCGACCGGAGCTGCTGTAATTCCACTGCTGTCGAAATAGCCACATGCAGCCGCGATGATACAACCGACCAAAAGGCCGAGAACAACAGCGAGAGATTTCATAATTGGTGATCCGAAACGTTCGCAAATGATAATAGTGATGAAGACCGAGAAACCAAGACCAATAAATTCAGCAGATCCCCATGGAAGTGGATGCGGTGCAGCATTAGAAGGGCAGAACATATAATCCCCCGAAGTAGGTCTCGACATACAAGTTCCGCTTCCTCCAGCCCAACCTTCCAATCCGGTCAGGATAAGCGAAACACCAATTAGCATAACCGTCGGACCCGTAACGATCGGTGGGAAAAGTTTCTTCAGGAGTTTCGGCGTCATGAACGAAAGTCCTATTTCGAGAAGTGCACATAACGATGCCGTTCCAAGCAACGCACCATATCCCTCCGGACAAGGTAATGGTGTTCCATCTTCCGCCGTTTTACACATACCATTTGCGTACATTTGTGAGAATCCCTTTGAAGCAAGAGGGATGATAGCAAACGAAGTACCCACGACCGAGATCAAACCCGTACCAATATAATAAGGTGTTTTCATAATCTTGAACCGAGTGATCTGAACCGCAGATAGAATACCCGACACAATCAGAGAAGTAGAAACGAGATATTGAGTAGTTTCCGTGTCGAAATATGCGGATCCGGCTATGAGAATAGGAGGGGTAATAATACCAGCTAACATAGCTAGAGCATGTTGAAATCCGAGAAGAAGACCTAGTAAAACTGGCATACGATCTTGGAGGCCGAAGAAAGGAGCTCGTCTTTTGGATTTTTTCATGAATGGAAGATTGGGTTTGAAGAGGAAAGCTATGATGATTTAGTTTTGGAATCATTTATGAGAAAAGCAGAGCAAAAGGAGCGAGATCAAAGAACATTCTATCCACAATTCAAATTTCAAACCTACCATAATCATAATTCCCCACCAACCCCTCCTTCGTCGTAAAAGCCCTCACAGTATCCCGCAGCCTCTCTCCCATCGTCCTCTCCCTCGAATTCTCAGACACAATCCTATCCGGTCCATCCTGCGGTCCACTATCAATCGTAACGGCCATTATATATCTTCCCACGACACAATTGTCGAGTATCGATCAAGTGATTTCGAGGTTTGCGTTGCGGCTATTACTCGCGTAGATAGATAGCTTCTTTGACGACGATCTCAAAGTCAAAACCAAAATCCCAAGCTAGGTAGAGACTAGATCGTTCTCGAGTGCAGAGAATTCAACGGAGTAGAACACAATTGAATCAATGCAATAAATGCAATACAAATAACACAACAGAACAAAACCGAACGATAGCAATGGAAAGAAAAAAGAGGATCTTCAAGTCTATATATCCTCTCCACCCAACCCCAACCACAGCTCTCGACGATAAGTATGCGTATAAATATAAATTAACCCCCGAGGAAAAAAATCGGAGACGTCCACTTCCACGCCCCGACGGAAATCCCGAAAAAACAGAATCAATCTGCAGTTTGCAAATTCCGAGCAGCCAGTATCATATCACAGGCAGAAAGTAGCTCGCTCACCTCACACTAATAGGTCAATCTAGTATCGTGCACACTAGGTAACCCAACCCACCCATCAAATTTCATTCATTCTCCACGCCTAGATACGACACCAGCACCACACCCCATCTCTTCCCCCCCAAACCCAGTCACAACTTCTCAAAACTCCTCAATCTGGATTCCCAATTCCCACATGCACGCACGAGAAAGAAAAAAAAATGGAGTCCGCCCCTTACCGTAGCTCGCTGCTCACGCAGCTTGACCACATCTGCAATCGTGGCGATAAGGAAACCCAACACTGACATTTGTCGAGGCGTAAGAGAAAAAGTTTAACACGATACAAAAGCTATTCTAATCGAGTAATACAATTGGATAGATAAGCTCTTATCGCACTGGTTATCACTCCCCCCCAATCCGTCGGAACACGCTGGGGTCAGGAAGTCCAATAGAAATCCAATGATCTTCATGCTAGTTGGGTTAGCTTATTGGGCGGAGCCCTCCGTAGCCGATCACGGACCCGAAGGGTTTGTGAACATTTTGGAGGAAAGAAATATAGATGTAGATATCGACATTGACATTGACATTGCGGAAGGCGGCTACAATACCCATGTTAAAAGAAAAGCGAAAGGGTTTCAGATTCGAAAGTGACCTCATTATCCATCAAATCAGTCGAGGCTAGCTCATTTCAATCCCTCTGATGTTCCTGGTATCGTACATTTCCGAAACAGAATACCTACTTCCTTCCATCACCCAAAAGCTTTTAATCCCAGAATAACACATGCAATCCATTCGAAGGGGAAAATTTCATTATACCAGCTGCTGAAAAAGATTTATCCAAAGCACGTTTACCTCCCGAGGTCTCACTCCATCCTTATGCTAACTATGCAACCGCCATCTTTTCCTCCGACGTCATAAACAAAACACCATTCCCATCATTATCTATCGTTAAATCATCATCATCTAAATTGACCGCTCCAAAAAGTGTTCCCATATGTGCACTATCAACACCTGTTCCAATGTGTGCTAAATCCCCCGCAAATGCCATTGATAAATTACTCGTCGCTACTGTGTTTCGCGGTTCTGTCGTTGAATTGGTTTGAATGTCTGTTTTATCATTTTCTGAATATGAAGGACGATCGGAATGTTGCTCCTGTCGAGTTTCTAAGGTGGAATTTTCTATGGTCGAAGTATTTTGGTAATTATAATGTTGCTCGATTGGATCATGCGTATAATCAGATCCGGAAGTAGACGAGGGCAATTGGATTTGTGATGGCCTGATATCCTGTGTATTTAAGTATGTAATCGCCGCATCTGGTGATCTGGGTGAGGTAAATGGCGGCGAATAAGGTTTAGATCGTGATCGGCCCCTTTCCGGTACATCGTAGTCATGTATATCAGAAATGCTATCTCGCCTATCGTTATTATCATGAACGGTGACCAACAGTTCCCCTTCATCAGCATGCCTAACATCAATCACAATTGGAGTTGCTGATTGATCATCATATGCACCGTGATACTCATCAATATGTGGAAAGCAGTCCAGCAAAGCAGCAGCTTGTGATCGATTTCGTGGATCATCGCTAAGACAACGACCACAAACTTCCAGGAAATAGTCCGGTACATCGGGAGGAAAATCCGATAATTTCAACGGTCTCTGAGTTTCCGGTTCATCGTGTTGAGTGGCCAAGGCGTAGAGAACCATTCCAAGTTGATACAAATCGGATTTGACGCCTATATACATCGAAATTCTCTGGTTGCTTTCTATCAACGCCGCGACTTCCGGAGGTTCCCATCCAACTGGGCAACCTCTTCGGTTGATATCGATTATCTTCGCATTATCATCCCCATCTATGACAATATTCGACAGTGTGAAATCTCCTTGAACAAAACCCGCCTCGTGAATCTCGGAAAGTCCATGAACAATTTGTTTAGCCCAACGTTCCCGTCGTGCCCACGGAATCCCATTATCACCATCATAAATAACATCAATCAATGCACCCTGTTCAGCGAAGCTAATAAGAAGTCCCTTCACGCATTTTGCTTCATTATCAAGTACCACGCCACCAAACTGAATAACACTATGAGATCCAGA